AAAGAAGATCATCAAGTGGTGGGGTGGTGTATCCCATTTCTGACAGTCACTGGGTCATCCTAGTGCAATGTATACCTAAAAAGGGTGGTATGACTGTAGTTGCAAACACAAAGAATGAGTTGGTCCCACAGAGACCAGTCAGTGGATGGGAAGTGTGCATGGACTACAGGAAGCTGAACAAGTAGACCTTGAAGGATCACTTCCCGATGCCTTTTATGGACAAGATGCTTGACGCTAGATAGGTTGGCTAGAAAAGAGTGGTACTGCTTCTTAGATGGATACTCTGGCTACAACTATATATCAATTGCTCCTGAACATCACGAAAAGACCACATTTACATGTCCTTATGGCACATTTGCATTTAAATTCATGTCATTTGGACTATATAATGCACCAGAAACTTTCCAGAGGTGTATGATGTCTATTTTCTTCGTCATTGTAGAGGACACTCTGGAGGTCTTCATGGATGAATTTTCACTGGTAGGTGACACATTTGATGATTGTTTGCTTAATATTAGTAGGTCTCTTCAGAGATGCGAGAAGGCCGATCTAGTTCTGAACTGGGAGAAGTGGCATTTCATGGTCAAGGAAGGCATAGTCCTTTGGCACAGGGTGTCACAAAAGGGGTTAGAGGTCAACAAGGACAAAATTGAGGTGATTGAAAAGTTTCGTCCGCCTATCTGTGTGAAAGGTGTTCGAAGTTTCTTAGGACATGCTGGATTCTATAGGCGTTTCATCAAGTACTTCTCGAAAAATGCATAACCCATGTGCAAGATTTTAGAGAAAGAGGTGAAATTTGTTTTTGATGAGGCATGTCTCAGAGTTTTTGAATGCCTAAAGGAGAAGCTGATTTATGCACCAGTGATCATTGGCCTAGATTGGCTAAGCCATTTGAGGTAATATGTGATGCTAGTGGTACTGCTTTAGGAGTTGAGTTAGGGCAGAAGCTGATTTATGCACCAGTGATCATTGGCCTAGATTGGGCTGAGCCATTTGAGGCAATATGTGATGCTAGTGGTACTGCTTTAGGAGTTGAGTTGGGGCAGAAGCGCAACAAGATGTTCCATCCAATTTACTATGCTGGTAAGTCACTAAATAGAGCACACCAAAATTACACAGTCACTGAATAGGAACTACTAGTTATGGTGTAGGCTTTCGAGAAATTCAGAACTTACTTGCTAGGTACTAGAGTGATAGTCCACACAGATCATGCAGCTATGAGATACCTCATGGCAAAGAAAGATCCTAAGGCAAGGTGCACTACAAGAAAAAGGTTCAGTTAAGACCAACATGTAGGGACGAGTTAATAATCCCGTCACAAAAAGTATATATTTTGAGACGAGATTATATTTCGGTCCTAAAAGTTATATGTTATTGAGAAGGTATAAAATCTCGTCCCTAAGAAAACTAATGACTCGTCCCAATTGTAATTGAGAGACTTAGCGGGAGCGCCAAAACATTGCTAAAAAATTTACTAAAACCCAAAAAATAATAATTCTAAAAAGTAGGCGGCAAAAAGAAACACTATTTTCTAAAAATCCAAAAAAAATCATTTTTCTCTCAAAATCCATTGGTCACGTTTTTGCCCTATACGTAAATTCTCAAGTCCAGAAGTGTCTCTTTTTCATCTCGATCAACATAAACGACCTAGGGCTATTCATCTCTGCCTCAAATCCTCTGAACGTATTCTCAGCAGCAACGTTCTCTCAACTGCAAATCCAAGGTATGGTGTCTCTTCTTCTTCCTGTTTACTGATGATCATATCATTCGCTCAACTCAACAAAAGTGTCTCTTTTTCATCTTGGTTAACAGTGACCTAGATTTATTTAGCTCTGCCTCAAATCCTCTGTACGTATTTTCAACAGCAACATATTTATTTCCTTTTCAGAACTGCGAATTTAAGGTATGCTGTCTCTTCTTCTTCTTCCTGTTTACTGACCTTTTGCTCAACTCAACAGAAGCGTCTCTTTTTCATCTCGATCAACAGCAACCTACAGTTATTAGGCTCTGCCTCAAATCCTCTGTAAGTATTCACAGCAACATTCTTTGTTTCCTTCTCTCAACTACGAATTTTGAGTATGATATCTCTTCCTCTTCGTCCTGTTTACTAATTTGTCGCTCAACTTTGCCCTATTATCTTATTTTATTGAGTCCAGATTCTAATTAAAAGTTTAATTGTTTTTGAAGTGTATCATGTTTGTAGTATATTGTGTGTTCAAAGAATCACATTACCCATAATAGAAAGTCTATTTTAGAAAAATAACTATGAGGGCACCCTTCCTCTTTTCTTCTCTGTTTCATGATTCCCCTCTTCAATGGACACCAAAGATTCTTTACAATGGAGTCTTGATCGACTTGTAATAATAAACGTGATTATTTTCTATATACTACAAGTTAAGTAATCGCTTTCTTTCATTAATGTGTTACGGGTCGTGAATCGGCAAATATTTTAACATCACTGATTCACTTGTATTTGAAGTCTTTAACCAGTGAATTAAATATAGCGAGTACTAAACTTTATTTCAACGATTGACAAGTAAATAATTATTTTGGTCATTAACCTGATTGTCTTAACCAACGAATCATGCTTAAGTCTTAACATGTTTGATCTAATGAATCATCTGATCATATAGAGCATACAAAATTTTCAGAAAAAGAAACTATGTACTTCGTCTCTTATCCTAGTAGTTGCTCTTACACAAGCAATGTAGTCAGTCTCCTTCACAATGCCCTCCCATATTCTACTTCTTCCTTCTCTTCTTCTCTCCTTCATGGTTTCCATTCTTTAATGGACAAAATAGACCAATGTATATATGGGTATATGAGTCTTGATGGATAATTAGTTGTTGACTGTACAACATGAAGATTCTTTACATTGGAGTCTTGATCGGGTTAAGTAATTGTCATCTTTTATTAATGTGCTACAGGTTGTTAATCTACACATCTGTTAACATCACTATTTACTTGACTTTGGAGTCTTTGAACAATTAACTAAAGATAGTGATCAATAAACAAGTCAATTTGAATGGTCATTTATGTCATCTCGGGTCAACAAGCAACTACTAGCTTTAAAAAAAATCACGTCAACTAATCAGATTGTTGAAGAAAATAATTATAAAAGATTGACGAGAAAGAAAGCATGAGTGAAAAGCTAAGCATATCTCAAAGAAAACCTTCAAAATACTGAGAAAGAAATCTAAATATGTTGCTTTGTAAATGGCGTTCTTCTCTAATTTTGTTCAGTTTGCTCATTTTCGTTATTCATGGTTGTTGTGTCAACATATTGGCAGGAAACAAACTTTAGCACTTACGTCATACATTACCTATTTGACTCCTACACTAACGATCATGAGAAGATGATGAACTGTAGGAAAAACTATTGTAATGTAGTTATTGACTTTCTTTAATAAATGATGAACACATTAGATGGAGTGAAATTCAAATAAATGATAGCATATGTGAACTAAAGATCAAAGCTACTCGACTAACTAAATGTATGACAACTTATGAACAATCTAGAAAAGAAACATATGTGATCATTTAAACGAGCAGCTTATTGCCTCAAAAGAGAAAGGTCTAAAACAAAAAACATAACAATTTTACCTTTCTAGCAACTGATATATTGCTTCTTCCTTCAACCTCTCTAACAAAAAGGGCTTCAACACCAGTTGAGTGTAACACAGGGAAAGAATTGAAAACCGTTTGAACTCAAAAGTACTATTTTCTACTTTCTTGAGTTGCCTCGGTCCCTTTTTCTTTGTTGCTTCATGTTGCAAGCACTCTTCTATTGATCATCAAATTTATGTATACTTTTTTTTTCAGTTAATAATAGCTTGTACAGACTTGTCATGTACAATCTTATTATCAAAAATTATATTAACATCAGTTATTGTCATTTGAAAGTATATTGCAATTCCTTAACTGAAAAAGTAGTCAAGGTCTACTAGAAATTGTGATCTTAGAGTTCAACTTAGTTGTGTGCATCTAATTGCAACAAGTTGTGTGCATATTATTATTTTTATTTCATTTTTAAAGAAAAATCTATTTTTTATGTTTTCTCTAAGGTTATGGCACCTAGTAAGCAATGGATGGAACTTGTTGACAATCGACTTGATGAAGTCTATTTAGCCGGTGTGCAAAGTTTTTAGATTATGCCTTTCAAAGACAGGAGAAGAACATGAATACGATGTCCATGTGTCAAATGTTTCAATACAATTCTAGGAACTCGTAAAACAGTTGAGACACATTTGCTAGTGTATGGTATAATTCGAAACTATATTTTCTGGTATCACCATGGAGAACGTTTGGGTGAGCCATTGATTGAATATGAATCTGAAGATGGAGATGGTGATGCAGTAGAAGAATGTGAGAGTGAGGATGAAGTAGAAGAATTGTTGAGAGATCTATATCCTAATCTTGACGGAGGAAGTACACACACAGATTGTGATGATTTACTTGAGGAGGAACCAAATGTTGAAGCAAAATTTTTTTACAGCCTATTAAAGGATTTCGAGAAGCCGCTATACAAAAATTCTAAAGCTTCAAAGATTTCTTCTTTGATCAAATTACTTCATATCAAAAGTATTGGTCGTTGGAGTAATGCGTCATTTACAATGTTATTGAAACTATTAAAAGATGAGTTGTTGCCTGATGATGCTGATTTGCCAAACTCATATTATGAGGAAAAAAAGATAATTCAAGAACTTGGGCTTTCTTATGATAAGATTGATGCTTGTACTAACGATTGCATGTTATACTGGAAGGAGGATAGCTTACTCGATTCTTGTAAAATTTGTGGTGCATAGAGATGGAGAATTAATACACATAGTGGGGAAATAAAGAATAAGAAAGGTAAAAAGATAGCTTCAAAGAGCTTACGCTATTTCCTAAAGCCTAGACTTCAGTGGTTGTTATGTCTACAAAGACATCTTCTCTAATGACATGGCACAAGGATGAAAGAGTTGATGAGGGAATAATGAGGCACCCAGCTGATTCATGGCATGGAGTCATTTGATGAACTTCATCCTTCATTTGCAGTTGACCCTCGTAATGTTCGACTTGGACTTACTAGTGATGGATTTCAGCCTTTTCGAAATTCAAAAACCTCACATAGCATTTGGCCTGTTGTTCTTATTCCTTATAATTTACCACCTTGGTTGTGTATGAAACAAGAAAATTTCATTTTGTCGATGCTTATTCCTGGTCCAAATGGTCCTGGAGATGCAATTGATACATATCTCCAGCCTTTAATAGAGGAATTGACGGAGTGGTGGGATGTTGGTATTGAGACCTATGATGCATCAACTAGAAAGAATTTTAAGTTGCATGCTTCTTTGTTATGGACCATCAATGACTTTCCAGCATATGGAAACTTATCTGGATGGAGTACAAAAGGAAAAATGGCATGTCCATGTTGCAATAAGGACACAGCTTCAATTCGATTGACTAATTGTAAGAAGCAGTGTTTTATGGGTCATCGGTGTTACCTTCCTCTTAGTCATAAATGGAGAAATGAGACAAAGTCATTTGATGGTACACAAGAGAAAAGGCCCCCACCAAAAATGCGTTCTGGTATTGAGATACTTAATCA